TGTGTGTGTGTGTGTGTGTGTGTGTGTGTGTGTGTGTGTGTGTGTGTCTTAGCTCACTCCAAACAATGGACCATATTAGCCATCCTCATGAAAACTGCATTTAGGGCTCACCAACAAGGATATTGCGTTCAGATTTAATGTAACTCAATGTGACATTTCCAAAATTTTGAGAAGTTGTCTCCCTGTTATGTCTCAGACTTTGAAACCTCTAATCTATCTATTAGATGACAATGTAATTGTGTGTGCAGCGTTAAACATTTGGGACTGTATGGTCCCTAGATAATAAACTGTAAATATCTTGTTGAAGTATTCAAGAGTCAAGGATACATCAAAAACTCATTTCTTGTTTGTATATAAGTATTGTCATTAAAAAGTAACAACAAAATAATCATTTCTTTATTTTAAACGTGCAGACAGTGATTTGAAGGAAAAAGTTAAAACTGAATGTTGACAGGAAAAGTTACAATAAATGATATGTGTCAAAGTGGATTGTTTTTAGCTTCTTTCTTTTACAATATTACTTTGTATGAATAACTGTTCATCTATGTGGAGGACTGTGTTCATCCTTTGATCATCTCTGGCTGCATGAGTTTATCCTGCTGGATCCAAATCACAAAGTTGCAGGACTGGACGCCACATGCTGTGAAGCTGAACTTGATAATAGTATTCATGGTTCTTCTTAAGATTAAATGAGCAGCAACTAGTCACCTTTTCAACATCATGTAATAAAATGTATAAAATAAAAAACAAAATAAAAATAACACGCACAGAGGCGGGTCTGACCGTTTTCACTGCGCTTCTCATAGATTTCTCGGTAAAACGAGTCCACATAATCTGTCACGCAAGGGCGTCAGAAGCATCCGTAATGTGGGGGGGACACAAAGATGTGTGTATGTGTGTGCACGTGCGCAAAAGAAATGTACACTAATGTACAAAAAAAAGCAAAATTTCACCTACTGTAGATTTGCTTTAATTCCACACATTTAAAGCATATTTCTCACCAAGTTTGTGCAAATTCAGCTGTGGGTTTTAGAGACATTTTAACTTTAATACACTTTAATACAGAGCGTCAGATCTGCACTATTTCAGAATCAGAATAAACTTTATTGGAATTGCACTGAGGTACAACGCGAATATGTATGTACAGTCGTCCGAAAGATGGGCGGAGTGCACGAAGTTGCAACTACAGGAGAGCGCGGCCATTTTATCCTTATCGGATAATAATCTTAGATAGGAAAAGAGGGAGAAACATGAGGGTAGACAGTGGTATTACAAAAAAAGATCTTTCACATCTTGTCTATCAGGACACGATTTGAGACATCAAAAAACTCTACCAGCAAGCACAATTAAAACAAGAATACATTTGCATTTGACATCGAGGTGTTGAGATTTGTCAATGAGCGTTTTTTCAGATCAGCCACAGTTTCTGAAGATGTTGTTCCAGCCAGCAGTTCTGATAAGCTTGCACAGAAAGTTCTCGGGGGGGGAGATAGATGAAGCTTTTGTCCTTGGGTACTCATGTCCGAGGAGAAATTTGATAGTCAGCCTGTCTCCGAAGCCATTGGGAGTCAGATTTGATAAGCTTGACTTTTGTTTTTTCTTCAGGCAGACAAATTTTTTTTTCTTCAGCCTTGAGTCCATCTGGGCGTTCTGGTTCCGAAAATGCCTAAATGTGGGATTACATTCCATTGATCCATGCTATGAGTCTCCTTCAAGGTCGAACCCACCATGCTGACGAGTCCCAGAAGCCGCAGGTGGTCTGCGATTCTCAATCGCCTCCACCTTACGGTTAAGCTCATAGACCAGACGATTTAAAGTTGCCACAGCGAGTACCAGACCTTCACACTGACCCGGAAGCTTTTCCATGGCCAAAACTGCTCCCGATGTCTTCTTCAAAAGTCGATAAAACAGAGCCCCGCCGATGCCAAAAAGCAGGGTCCCTGCTATCATAAAACCAAATATGTAAACGGCTTCAACATCCTCTTGAGACAAAACTGTGATGCACATCAGCTGCCACACTCCCCACAAATCCATGACGTACCCCACAGTGTGAGTCTCAGCTGGACATGCCGGTTCCCCAGGACCTTGTCGTTTTGATGAAAAAATCTTATCAATAGAGTTGAACGCCCACGATACCAAATCCATAATCTTCTTAATTTATTTTCGGGAGATGAGACCCAGGCGCTTCAGACAGACAGAGAGCAGAGCAGGAAGAAGGAAAAAAACGGGGGAGGAGAAACAGAAGCTGCCACCTCAATGAGAGCCTGGGAGGAAATTTGTGTTTATAGAGAAATAAAAAACATCACCACTGGACTTATTTACTTGTGTTCAACACTACTCATCTAAATGATGTTTCTCATGAAGCTTGAGGACAATAAGGTGTGGGGTTTTAAAAACATTTAAACTTTAATGCACCTGAACACACAGCGTCTCTTACACCTGCAGCGTCTTACAGCGTCACAGTTACTACTAAGAGAACATGCTATAGACGTAGCGCTGCACTCAAGAATCCTCCTAACATGAATATATGTTTATGATCAACCCCCTGGTCAACAACTGCCTGCACTAACCTGCTAAACTGGCGAGTGAGCAACACAGAGGTGTCTCCATCTCCTGCACCTGTGCGCATTTTCTACCGAAGCAGGAGACTCAGCAGCGGCTGCCTGCACAGTTTCTGCTCTGTGTGTAGAGGTGGAGGTAACCTGGAAAACCTGGAGTGGAGTTTTATTAGATTGAGTATTCTCCTATTAATCAAGTGGAATGGATTCGTTCACGAAGAAAGAGAAACTGCGCCACCTGAACTAATGTTTCATAGTAAAAGTGGGGGGTCCAAATGAACATTTTTTTAATGTGGGGGGGACTTGTCCCCTTCACATATAATGGTTGCGACGCATATGCTGTCACGGTTGTAATTTTCATTTTAATCGACAGCTCCAGGTAATAAATAAATAAATAAATATAAAACCTCAAATGAGCAACAAATAAACCTGGTCTTGTGTGGGGGTTTTCTTACAGTTTTGTGTTTTCTTTTTTTGTGTGTATATATGTGATTTTTTTTTTTTTTTTTTTTTTAATCGCTGAGCGAAAAACGTTTTTTGGGGGGGGAGGTTTTTATACAATTTTTGTCACGTTCAGTTTAGCCTGACAAATATCAGTCACCCACCAAGACATCGTGTATTTATAGTTTTTAATACCAAGAAATCTATGAGTAGAGCTGTGAAGACAGTTGGATCTGCCTCTGTGCGCCCTCTTGATAAAGGGAAACAGAATTTCGCACAAGACACTGGCTCTTTCTGCAGACTGGCTGCACACGCATCCGCCGTGTTGGTAAACAAATAATCCCTTTATATCAAGATGATTTCTCCCATTTGTTATGTTTGTAGAAAATGCATGTCACGAGCACTTCAAGGAGAGTAAACATGTTTAAGGACTCAGTGTTTAAATAGCTGAACTTACATCTTCAAAGTAGATCGAGATGAGGTTCATGTCACTGGTGTTCTTGCTGTCCATACGGTACTGCTCGTACATGAGGTCGTCTCGTGAACACTCCAGCTCCATCAGCTTCCTGTGGGCCTGCAGCAGCTCGCCCTGCTCGATCAGCTGCTGTGTTTCCCGCACAATCTCTGGCACTGGCAAAACAACAAGGAAACACAGGTAGACGAGACAAAAGCTCCAATCATTAATGAGACTCATTCCCTCACATTTTAGAAAAGACTGACTCAACTTACCTGAGAAAATGTTTTTGAGGTTTTCCACAGCAGAGGCCAGCTGACTATGTTGAACCACAGCATCTTTCACATCCTTTAAGTTCTCAATAGTGTTGATGCTTTGCCTCCAGTCTTTACTCACATCAGCCAGAGAGCTCTGGATGTCTTTGACATCCAGCAGGGCACTGTGCAGCTGGGTCAGTCCAGTCCGTACACCATCTAACTGAGACTGGATGGCTGCCTGAAACACATCAGCATCATGTGGAGTTAATGTCCACAGAGGCAGATTCTGACACCATCAGTACTGTTAAACACACCTTAAACAGAGGCACTGTTAAGATGCAACGTTGAATCTATTCCAGTGTTTCCCTACCATTATACAGGTGGGGTGCCCCACCCCGCCAACAAAACTGAGCACCCCACCTACCAAATTGAACTTGCCCCTCCCACCCCCACCCGTCACTAAAATATCACTAAGGTAGCGGCACAAAATACAGGCTCTCTAGCAAAAAAGCACAAGGCAGCACTCACATTGCTTCTTCCCTCATGTTTAACACCCCTGCCCCCGCTCAAAAACTGTTAGTACAAGCTGCACTCAGACATGTCTCCGCCCCCCCATCAGCAAAAATCATGGATGAGATGAGCACCCCGCCATGGCAAGCTAACTAGGGGAAACACTGTATTCTATCACTTTTTAAGGCAGAACATTTTGAATGTTGTTACTTTAACAGAGAGCTCCATCTCCATGTTCTACCACCTATCTGTAATCGAGTAGCCAAGGCAAAAGGTTCAGGAATGAAACCCAGACACTTCCCCTCTCCTAAGCAACATTTTCCAGCTCGTCTTGGGGCCCCCAGTGAGTTTGTAGGCCAGAGAAGGGAAGTTTTGAGATTGTCATCATTGTATACAATGGTGAAATTAGTTCTCTGCATTTAACCTATCCCACCTGAGATACGCCCAGGTGGAGTAGTGGGCAGCTGTGTAAGCACCCGGGAGAAATTAAGGATTAGGTGTCTTGCTCAGAGACACCACAACATGTAGGGATGGCTGGGGATCGAATAACAGGATGTCACCTCCACATGTACCTACCACCAATGGGGAGGACTGTCAAGGTCGGGTGACATTGATGCCAGGTGGTGGCAGGTGAGGGAAGCACAGTTGTCAACTTCTCAGTAAGGAAAGTGGCTATTGGCTGTCCTAAATGGCTCTTGATGATGTCTTCACCTAATTTGTATATTTATTCATTTCAATATACAGTAGTCCCTCGTTTATTGCGGGGGATCCATACCCTGAAGCCCCGCGATAAGTGAAAAACTGTGAAGTAGGAATAGTAGTACCAGTACCATATTTTTTGCCCCATAAGTTGTGTTTTTTTGCATAATTTGCATACTTTGCAACTTATAGGCCAAAGCGACATATTTATGGATTTTTTTTTCCCATATTTAGAAACCAATTTTTAGCTGAGATATGATCGTTTTCATTCATTCTGACTGGAAAAAATTGAACACGACCATTTTCAGCCGCTAGATGGCAGCAAAGTAGTATGGCATGCTGTTGTGTCATGTAATAGGTAAAAGTGGCTATAATGACAAATTCAAAAAAGTTCAAGATAAAAACAACTGGACTTTATTAAATCGTATTTTCCGCGGTACATGTCGCTCCGCCCTATAAGTTGCATCAGTTCATATTTGCCTAATAAAGTGGAAAAATCCATAAATATGTTACTTCGCTGTATACGTCGCATCAATTATGAGTTACCGCTGACGCGTCGCGTTTGTTACGCGTCACTGCTGACAACGCGGAAATGTGGGCGGTGTTGTGCCAAAAATTCATGAGCTGCCGAATGGTGGCCACGGGAGCGTGCACAGGAGGACTTTAACAAGATTAACACTTTAAAACAATTATTTGTTTGCTCAAAATTATAGCAAAAGTGTGTCTCAGTCTAAAGTTTGCTTAATAAATGCACTTTAATAGTCAAATTAGCTGAATTTCAAAAGTAGTTTTGCTGCCTTGGTGCTCTGGGAGAGTGCAGAGGGAGGAAAAGTGAGGAGAAATGTGGCCAGTTTCTCCAAAATTTAACAATGAAAGCACCTAAACAATTATTTGTTTGTTTGAAATTATAGCAAAGGTGTGTCTCAGTTAAACTTTTACTTTATGAACGCACTTTAATGGTCAAACTAGCTGCATTTTGCTGGAGCCGTGCAGCTGGTTTAACAGGCGTCCAAGCAGCGAGCAGAACAAAGGTGAGGAGGCAAGTAAATTGTATCATTAATAAATGGTGAAAATTCTCAGTCATCCAGGACATGGTAAATTCAAACAACTTCAAGAAAAAAAACCAATAAAGTATAAAGTAAAGTATAATGAATAAAGTCCAGTTGTTTTTGAATTTGTCATTATAGCCCGTTTACCCATTACATGATACAACAGCATGCCTTACTGCTACTACTACTCTGCTGCCATCAAGTGGAAAATGGTACTGCTCAATTTTTGTTTTGGTCAGAATGAATGAAAACGGTCATATCTCAGCCAAAAATTGGTTTAAAAATATGGGACAAAATCCATAAATATGTCGCTTCGGCCTATAAGTCGCAGGACGTAAATTATTCAACAAACTGCGACTTATAAGGCGGAAAATACTGTACTTTCCTTTATACTTCGTTTTTGTCTTGAACTTTTTTGAATTTACCATGTCCTGGATGACTGAGGATCTTCACCAGCTACTAATGGCACAGTTGGCTTGCCACAGTCTGCCACCTTTGTTCTGCACGCTGCCTGAAGCAACCGTCAAACCAGCTTCATTTCGCTGCACAGCCCCGGTGAAATGCAGCTAATTTGACCAGTGAAGTGCATTTATTAAGTACAAGTTCAACTGACACACATCTTTGTTTGTTTTTTGCTTGAAATTATAGCAAACAATTGTTTTAGGTGTTTTTCTTGTTAAATTTCGAAGAAACGTGCAGCGTTCCTCCCTTTTTTCCCCTCCCTGTCTGCTCCCGGAGCACTGAGGCAGTGAAGCTGATTTGACCGTTAAAGTCCTTTTATTAAGCAAATGTTAGACTGCAGCACACCTTTACTATAAAGTCGAGGAAACAAATAATTGTTTTTAAGCGTTAATCTTATTAAATTCTTGTTAATTCTTGTTAATTCAGCTACCCATCCAGGCTGTCACATTGTAAAGTTTGCAGATGATACAGCGATGGTGGGATGCATCACAAACAATGATGAGTCCAGCTACAGGCAAGAGGTGGAACACCTGGAGAGCTGGTGCAGAGAGAATAACCTTCACATCAATGTGAAGAAGACAAAGGAGATGATTG